TCGGCTGGTAAACAACCCATTGCTGATCGTATTCAACTGGACCTACCAATGGTAGACTTCGAATAATTTGAAGGCAGTCCTACCATTTAGTGGAAGTTTATAAAGCAGTTTGAATATTTTACTGAGAAGCCAGTGGCAGATAGGGGTCAGCGTCTTTTGTATTTGACGTAATTTTGTCGCAATCGGGCGAAAGAAGCTATCAGTGAGTGCATCATGTTGCCACCGGACCAGGTCTCTGTCAAGGGCAAAACGATTCTTCACGATTTATTTGGTCAGAGCCACGTAGTTGTCAGATCACTTATTGGTGGGTTGCTGAAAGATCTTAAACCACTCGCTCATGGTTACAAAGCCATTTCTCGTCTCTCCCTGAAAATGAGGCATTGCCACCCAGCGTTGACACAGCTAGGACTCCTCTCTGACCCTGACGCGTTTGCCGCCATCGAGGGATTTTTTGTGTGTTTTGCTAGCAAGTATGAAGACGAGATGTGCGTGACAGCTAATATCATCCAACACGAAAGGACAGAACTTAGGTTCAATGACCTATGTGAATTTGTCTCTTTTGAAGCTAGCATTATGCGCAGCAGGTTTGACCAGATGGCGTCGATGACTGAAATGAGGCCGTCTAGTTTCCGAGTTCCACCAATCCCAACACGTAAAAAGAATGAGGCCACGATCAATCACTACACTAAGTCCAAGTTGAGACCGAATTTATCCTGTTTAGTTTGTAACGGTCGACATGGTACCACTTCATGCAGAGTTCCTGTTTTTCGGAGTACCCTCCGGACGGGAATTAATGAAACATACTAAACGAATGCTAAAAATCTCTCGATGGTAGCCACATGCTCGCTACTTGCAGGTCGAACGACATATGTCGGAAGTCAGGTTGCAGAAGTTGCCCTTACCCCCTGCTGCACTTGGAATGCAAGGCTGACCCGCAGCCAAAGACGAGCAGCTGTTGCATTACCTCCGGTTCACGACAAGAGATGCAACTGGGCATTGTACTATACGCTTGCGGAGCGCTCTAAGGTCAACTGAGACTAATGCCTTGTTAGACACCGGGTTAGATATCACCTTAGTGCAGAGAAGATTCGCTACGTAAGTTTTGGAACAACGTCCTCACCTAAGGCGTTTGAGATCCGAACGCTGACCGGCTCGACGTCGATTGACGCGAGATCTATCGGTTTTAACTTGACCGCGTTGACAGGTGCTGATGCATTGCATATTTCTGCCTTAAGGAGTTGAAAGACAACCTGTCATGACGTCTGCTCGAATGATGCCTCGTCACTGGCTCCAACTTAAAGATATGCAATCTAGGGAGCTTTTAGATAGGCGTATGAGAACACTGATCGGCCGCCCATTGGCACCTTGAGCAGCGGCTCGGAGGAAGGAATCAACCGTTTGCTGAGGGAATTCCTTTGGGATGGACACTGCTTAGGTCAGTCGTAAGCAAATGAGCATTTGTCTCCATAAACTACGTCCGGTACGATGGGCAAGCAGTGGAGGAGCAACTTAGGTTGCTATACGATAGCGAGTTCCCCGTTGTTGGTTCAGAGGATCGAGCTCTATCTGCCGAGGACAAAAGGGCATTATCGATAGCACAAAGTTCGGTACCTTTGGTTGATGGTCATTTTGAGATAGCATTGGCGAAGTGTGAAGGCAGATCTACACAATAACTATGGAATGGAGAAGACGTTTGGTGTATAATCGTTCTCTTTACGAAACGTCCCAGGCTGTGGTTAAGAATAAGCTGAAGAAGGGGCACATGATTCTAATTCCAGCAGAGCCACTTCTCTCCAGGTTTACGCTATTGGTTCCTACCACACCATGCCGTGTTAAATCCTAAGGAGCCTGATAAGCTACGTGTGGTCGGATTGTGCTGCCAGATATAAAGGCTTTTTATTAATCGACCGGTTGTTACAAGATCCGGATGTCACCTCCAGCCCTATAGGAATGCTAATGAGGTTCAGGAATGAATAGGTGGCTATTACAATGGACATAGGGGAAATGTTCATGCAGGTAAAGGTTCCAGCGAAAGATAGATGTGCATTGCGTTTCTTAAGGTGATGAGACAGATATTTCGATGCGGATGTCCTGGAACATCCAATGACCGCGCATACCTTTGGTGAAACATGGTCAACATTTTTTGTCAATTTCGCACTGCTTTGGACGGTTGATGAGTGAGGAGAACTATACAGTCGGGTCGTCAGTGGTGCTGTTTAGACAAATTTTTAAGTGTATTATGGTTTGATTTTTATTCCAACCTCGCAAACAGCAGTAAAATTGATTTCACATATTGGAGAAATGCTCGGTCAAGTTGGGTTCATATCGCGAAAGCGGGTTTTGTACTGTGCGAAGGTGTGTAAAGCCAACCCTCCTTCAGAGATTGCTGATAGGTTCAGACTGATTGAATTTTCAGGCAAGCCGGTGTTACCAACCCTAGGTTTGGAATGGAATTCCAGTGAAGATGGCTTCCTTTCCCGCTTTGATGTGAAGGATGGGCCGAGAACAATAAGAGCCTTCTTGTCCATAGTGTTTTCTCTCTATGACCCATTAGGATTCATCGCGCCTGTTCTCATGCTACTGTTACGGCAACTTTGTCGGGACAAGTGCGTGTGTGTGTGTGTGTGTGTGTGTGTGTGACAAAGAAGTTGCTTCTGAATATGTAAAAGTATGGCAAAACTGGTTGTCGGATATAAAAGAACTGAGTGAAGGGAAATTTCCCAGGTGTATAACCCCAAGTCAAACCTTTAAGCAGGTTCTGCATTTGCATGTAACTTGCGATGCGTCTGACAAAGGATGTGATGCCGTCGCGTACGGTCCATTTTGCGAAATGGGTAAACCTGCGTACTGCTGCCTGCTTTACACAAAATCTAGAGTGGTTCCCCTTAAGGATGTGTTCATTCCTCGCTTGGAACGGAGAGCAACACATTTTGCGACGCAAGCATTTAAAGACTTGTTTGGAGAACACAGCTGACGTTTGAGCGGACTTTATTTTGGACTGATTTAACCACGGTACTATATTATATTAATGCTACGTCAAGTTTTAGTACGTTTGTTGCTAACCGCATGTCAATCATACACGAACCGTCTACACCCTGTCAAAGAAGGTTCATACAATCAGAACACAGTTCACCGCCAACGTTAAACGTTCAATGATAGAACCTGCTTTGTTACTGCTCGACGGCCACCAAAGTCAAAAGACTCTTGCTGCTGTACAACTAGCGTCTGCTAGTCATGTTACCATGCTGAAATCGCCACCACATTGTACACTTTGCCTCCATCCTTGCGATGACAGGTTTATCATGGCCTTGAAGTCGGCGTTCAAAAGCATTGCTGATTAATGGCTACTAAATCTTCCTCGTCAAAAAATTTCATTCTTTGATCTGGCCTCAATAATTGGTCAAGCTTTCAACAAACCAGCAGCCGTTGCTATTACTATCAAGAGCTTTGCATCCTGCAGGATATGACTGCTTACTCCCTTTGTTGTTAACGAGAATGATTTGTTGCTGCCCAGTTTAATGAGCCACAGGATAATTGTGCCGAGCAAGTCATCCTTGTCCCTATGTCTTCAACTGCACCCCAAGTGAACTCCGCTTCAGCAGATGCTTCCGCTGAATGCAGTATTCTCATTCCAACTTCAGTATCTATAGATCATGACCACATGCCTTTAGCTTCAGCGATGATCACATCTGCTTATGATAGGTCTGCACTTTCAACGTCCTTTGATGTACAAAAGTTTAAGACCTGGTAAGACTACGCTATCAGTGTTGACTGAAATTCAGGTCATTGAACACTTGTGTTCCAGTCTGAAAACAGTCATCCCAAGCAAGCAGAAAGGATGTCGCAAAAGTGAATATGCCGGAGTGTTAACAGCATCACCATATATTAGTTCACTGCAACAAAAAGCAAAACAGAAGCAGCAGGAAGGACGTAAGAAGATGACCAGCAAACTAAAGAAGTCAAAACCGTCCTCTTCATTGTACGAGTCCGATGAATGGTCTTGTTCTGTCTGCGGGGAATAATTTGTTCGCAGTCCACTTGGTGAAAGGAGGGTCGCCTGAGTTATGTGTCATATGTTGACCCAGGAGGATTACACTCCAGGAATTTTCAAAGTCTATGTGTGTCACACTTGGGAATCTGACGATGCTTCTTAACTCTTTGGTTTTAGTTAACCTATCTGGGCATTCCCGAACCACGGATTTGGTGCGTATCAATTTTAAACCTTCTCTACATAGCAGTGTTAAGTGACAATCTGTCTATCCGCTTGGGTATATGCCATGACTGTACTACAATATGGTATGGCCCTATCTTTTCTAGTGTTCTGCATACCTGTATGTGCGTTTTTAAGGAGTTAGGGACGGGGTGGGGTAAGATGCATGCCAGTCGGCGGCTTACACCCTTCCCTCCTTTGCTCGCACTGTACGGCTGGACAACCGTCCGTGAAACATAAAAATCCGTTGAATCTAGAGATACTTAGAGTTTAGCAGTATTTGTTTTTGAACATATTTGGTGTTTGATGGTCTTAAAGGGGTTTAAGACAAACAGACAAATTTAATCTGGATATAAATGACTGCGTATACCTTCAGCACCCAATGGTTTGAGCCACCGAGATGAGCGCGCTTTACAGTAGTGAACAATCGTGCTACCTTTTATGTAGACAAAAGCCATGATCTAACTATATAACACTATATAATTGCGTGCTTTGATAATTTTGTGGACTGTTGTTTACAAGCATGTATCAATGCTTCACACAAGAATTGTGCGAAAATAACAGCATCAGACGGTGAACCAAAGGCAGAAACAGGAGCAATCGTCTTAATTAGGGCGAAAGTTGTGCATTTTAACAGGTTTGTTAGAAGCTTGTTACGCATACCACCGTGGTTGATGTGGCATGCACAATCAGAATCAAAGCAAATATGAGAAATTCTTCCTCACATTTCGGCAGGTAGGCCACTCAAACATATTCCGCCAAGGTAGACCAGTTAATCTTTGTCCCCATTTCATGTGCCCAAAGAAACTGTACTTTTGACACAGACAAAATCATTCCCGTTGTTCTCCTTGAAGGTAACCTTCACTGGCCCGTTGTACTGAAAGAAGAAATAACGATGGCAAAGTGAAACGTCTGGGTCATTCTTGTTAACTCGTTCGACACGTCGGACACAGCACACACACTGTGGATACTTACGTTTACGTTCGGAAGTTTCGCAGTTGCTGTATATTCGTATTGTTCCCCAGCAACTACTGGACATGATCCGTTGATATTTTTACAAAGCAAGCGGTAATTTCCTGGCATACCACTGCATCTTTCACCAAGAAAGTTCAAGTGAAAACACAGATTCACCCGGCCGCTGGTTACATTGTGATCTATCAGAAAAAGATACACAGGCGTCCGTAAGCTGCTCCCAAGAAGTTAAGTGACCAGCAAAGCGGTTATGTGTGCCACAAGTCGTCTAATGCTTTAGCAGGCATGCGAAGGATAACCTGATTTGGAAGTTACTGTTAAGGGTCTTCAAGTATTCACATCAAAACCCTGCTCACGAGTACAGCGAACGTGTATGTTTTTGGTGCCGTTTTGCAGTATCTAATGAACTCAATGTGGCATGAGTTTACCAAAATCAATACCCTACCGTCGGCATACATAAATTGGGCAACATAACCCTATGCGTTGCTCTTCAGACAATTTTAGATTCAGTTGCAGTTTCGCATGCGACGATCCGAGATTTTGTGCTGCACCGCAAGGGTCTATGTTCACTAGTTGGAGGAATGTTCAAGAATATCTGTAGCCCCACACTCATAGTTGCTATAGTTCAATATGATATAGGAGCGAATAGCGGCCTGCTGTGCATTCCTTTCTCGTGAGTCATGTACCCATCCACATTTATTTGCAGACATTTGTCTCATCCGCTTCATCATGCCGATTCTTTTGGTCTCGTCTACAAAGCACATGCAGGCACTGAACAATTGCTCGATTTGCGCTAAGCGTGTAGGGTCTCGATCCAAACCCATCACATGCTCAATCTGTCTGCATTGAGTTCACGCTTCCTGTGACAAGTTACTCCATGCCACTGACATCGAATTCCGTTGCTCCCATCCACAAACGGGCCTGCAGCATCGCTGAACGGTTTGCGTCCCCACCATTTCGAACTGTCAGCGCGATATCCCTCGCAACCTATAATCCGTGACATGCCCTATGCTTAGCCCTGTTACCTCGTCTCCTAGCAACCAGTCCTTTATAACGTGCAACAACCAGTCGCAGACGCAGTCGCTTCAGCCACCACGAATCGTCAAGTCACCTGGCTACAATGCCCATTCACAAGTGAGCTTGATAAACCGGAAGACCCATTACAGAAACCAATGCTTAAAGTCCACGGCCTAAACAAATGACGACAGAAAACCTCCAACCGTCCCAACACACGTCATCGCAACGTCACGAAGTGCTGAGACTACCAAAAGTCTTTGACTCCCAAACCCACCGGCAGAGGCCTCCAAACAAGTAAGTATACAAACGCCCCACATCTGCGTACGAATAAACAAATAAGGATGAAAGTTGAAGTGCTCGCTGAGCTTGGAAATTTTGTTGCCATCGTTCCCCCACCAATCAAGGTGACGTCAACAGTGCTTTGTTGGGTAGCGCGTAGAATATAGCATAGCGTAGAGAAACCTCCGTAAAGATGCGTCGGCGATGGTGCGCACGCGATTCTATAGCTCCCGTGTTTGGTCGCGGAGATAAGCAATCCTATTGGCTTGGACATCTGCCCGTATTCAGCATGTTAGACAGCTAGTTCACCTTTGAACTTGACCTCTCAGAATTGTGCATAGTAACCCTGCCTGGTTACTACCGTGCTCAAATATGTCGTGTGCCCCTTTGGGCTGGTGTTCTGATCCACTGGATTTTATCGAATGGTGTGGCGGTCCGCCGCCCGTAGTATGGCGTATTCTGCGTCCAGTTCAATGTGTCGCTGAAGTGACTGAGCTGTGGAGTGCCGTGCTTCCAGAAATTCCCTGGCATATTTGTACTCCCACCCGCCAGCATCTTCACATTTTCCACATCGAAATGGTGGCCTTCTTGATCTCCATGTGCGGAAACCAGCGAATTTGCATCATGTCCTCCTACGGCGACTTTGTGCTCGGTGATTCGTGTACTAAGCTTTCTTCCAGTTTGTCTGATATAGTTTTTGTCATATTCTCTGCCTTTTATCTGGTAGATAACGCTGTTTTGATTGCTCTCATTAAGTTTATTCTTAGGCTTGGAAAACAGTTTCCTTATGGTGGCACTTTGTTTGTGGGCCACCGAAATTCCATGTGACTGTAGTGATCTTCCTGTCAGTTCTGCAACGTTCTTGATGTACGGGAGCACTATTCGTTTGTTCGCCTGCTCTCGTGGTTACTGCTGTTGCTGAAGCGTTCTCTTCATTAAGCTTCTTCGGATGAACTTCCTCGGATGCCCGTTGATTTGAAATACTCGGTAAAGTTGGTTTTCATCTAGCCTTCTCAATTCAGTAGTACTGCAGTGGGTTGCCACTCTTTCGAATAGGATTTGAACGCAGCTCTTGTTGTGGTTCAGTGGGTGGTTGCTGTGGTAGTTTAATATCTGATCCGGATGCGTTTTCTTTCCAAACACACACATGTTTGCAATGTGCTATCGGTGTTCCTGTTGACCAGCAATTCCCAAATCGCAACTTTCTGTCATTTTCTAATGCGTTTGTAAATTTGGTATCCTCGAATGTGTTGTTGAGCAGCTCGTGTATTTTCTGTGCTGTGTTTCGTTTTATGATGACAAACTTGTCGTCTACATATCGGATATAAATATTCGGACTAACGGATTGCAGTGCAATGCACTCCAATTTCTGCATCGCGGCTGTGACAGTAAGTCCAGATGTTGAAGATTTCATCGGCTTTCTTATCAGCTGCCTGTATACGAATTTATGCATCAAACGCTAATAATTATACCCAAATAGGTCGCATTGTCATTTAGTCACTAGCAATAAAAACGGCTTTTCTCAAAAATGTAGCTGATGGTTCAAACTAGAGGGATTAATTGACACACCATATTCACAGAAAACAGCCATAAAGACGAGTTACGTAACTGATGGCTTACCTGCTTTAAAAACCACATCGACACACGGCCAGATGGAGCATGGAAGTGCGGGTGAAAAGCATAGAGAGAATAACCCGCATGGAAGCACGTCCCCAGGAGGCGATCAGAGTAATCACCGTATTACTCCACTTATACTTTCTATTTCTCTACACTCATTATCTTTCAAAACCTCACAATTTTCCCGAAAGATTTCACTGAACAATTAGCCATGCCTACCAAAATGCTTGAAAACTGCTTTGGAAAATTCAAAAAATATACCATTTACTCCTTGCGATTCTGCCATAAACCAAGAACCGTAATATCTAGTTGGACAATACCTCGCACCGATGAGAGATATACCTGCTTTTTATTCACCACAAATTCATATTGCCCATGCAAGAGCATGGCACTATCGGTACATATTTGATACCAGTAATTATAAAGCGAAGAATGCTAGTAAGGCCAAAGAATTGCTTTCAGACACAACTACATATCGTCCGATCAATCAGGATCCCAGTCCAAAGCTGGTCAACCAGCTCAACGCAACGCTGAAGAAGTTACACGCAAGAAATGAGATCACCAGCCTCGAGAAATGGGCAATGAAATCCGATGACGCGAACATTGCGCAGTTCTATGGACTACGCAAACTGTATACAGATGGAGCCCCCCATCGACCAATTGTCTTGCTTCCCGGAACCCTATCGTATTAATTATCAAAGCATTTGTGGAGGAGGTTAAAACACCTGATCGCCGGATCCGATTATTGCATCAACAACGCAGAACAATTCCCCAACAGGCTGTGGCTGTCGAAATGGAAGACAACGAAATTATGCTCTCATTCGACGTCCCTGCACTTTTCACTTCGATCAGTCACGAATGAGCTACAGAAACCATGTGGAATCTACTTCCGAATCAATCAAGCACAACAACAACCATACAACCCGGTGAGTTTGGGAGAACTTTGGGACCTATGTATGACAGATTATTGCCGCTTTGATGAACATGTGTATCAGAAGCTGAACGAAACGCCAATGGGATTTTCAACATCTGGACTTGTTGCCACAGCCGCCATGCAGAAATTGGAGTGCATTGCACTGCAATCCGTTAGTCCGAATATTTATATCCGATATGTAGACGACAAGTTTGTCATCATAAAACGAAACACAGCACAGAAAATACACGAGCTGCTCAACAACACATTCGAGGATACCAAATTTACAAACGCATTAGAAAATGACAGAAAGTTGCGATTTGGGAATTGCTGGTCAACAGGAACACCGATAGCACATTGCAAACATGTGTGTGTTTGGAAAGAAAACGCATCCGGATCAGATATTAAACTACCACAGCAACCACCCACTGAACCACAACAAGAGCTGCGTTCAAATCCTATTCGAAAGAGTGGCAACCCACTGCAGTACTACTGAATTGAGAAGGCTAGATGAAAACCAACTTTACCGAGTATTTCAAATCAACGGGCATCCGAGGAAGTTCATCCGAAGAAGCTTAATGAAGAGAACGCTTCAGCAACAGCAGTAACCACGAGAGCAGGCGAACAAACGAATAGTGCTCCCGTACATCAAGAACGTTGCAGAACTGACAGGAAGATCACTACAGTCACATGGAATTTCGGTGGCCCACAAACAAAGTGCCACCATAGGGAAACTGTTTTCCAAGCCTAAGAATAAACTTAATGAGAGCAATCAAAACAGCGTTATCTACCAGATAAAATGCAGAGAATATGACAAAAACTATATCAGACAAACTGGAAGAAAGCTTAGTACACGAATCACCGAGCACAAAGTCGCCGTAGGAGGACATGATGCAAATTCGTTGGTTTCCGCATTAGTCTCACATGGCTGACTTTCCAACCATAATCTCCGAGCGCTAGTAATGCAAGACGTCTGCGCGTTGTCTTGCCGCAGGGCCGGCTATTTAACATGTCCGCTGGTCAGTGCTCCTACTTCCATACTACGCCTCTCTTGCGTACACCATATTCCTATCTTCCCCTTTATCCCTTATACTGAGCGCGTTGCGCGTAGGCTGCAGCTGACACCACCTACTCGACCATGCTCTATCATAGTGCATTGCTTTCCAGAACTGTGCGGCCCCTGAGGCAACATTACAACAGCGATAACAGCATGACTCTAGCCAATGGCGGTTCCTTCAGCAGACACTAAATATGGTCAACGTAATCAGCACGGACTTCCACCGCCTACCTCCTTTAACAAGTTATACAGGAACAGCCCACCGACTCCTGAAGGTAACTTTACTTACCGCTAGTATG